TTTTCAATGCTAATCAGAATAAGTTATTCTCTAGGGTTTTTTGGGGTTTTGTTTTTAGGGTGGTTTGGTTTGGTTTGGTTTGGTTTGGGGTCTTTTTCTCCTGAATTGAGAATGCTCCTGAATTGAGTCTCGTGCCATGATTTAGAACTTCTTCTTAGACCCTTCTTCAGAGCAGGAGCTGGGAAATGAAAATTAAGTTCTGGATACAGGACAAGTGGGATAGTTTAGTTTGTTATGGCAATTTCTCATGTTGCTTTTTGTCAAGAAACCTGTCCAGTCCTGGAAAGCAAGTGCTTTAAGTATTAGCCAGTAGACTTCATGATCAGGAGGGAAGCAGGGAGGAAGCTCTGCGTTTACATCATGCCACTCTACCTGTATTTTTTCTTCGCCATTTTCAGAATGTGATTTGCAGGGAATTTCCATGAGTCAGTGTATGCATTTTGAGGTATTTGGATCCAATTATCTGGTCTTGGATTATTCAAGAGTGTTATTGCCTAACAAAGAAGATGAGGTCATACTTGTATAACTGGCAGGATATTCTGTCTGGTTATTTAAGAGCACTGTTAGGCTACTAAGGGAAGTTCAGTAGTAGACAACAACAGAACAGCCTTTGCCTAAAACATCTCTGAAAGAAAAATGTCTGTAATACACAGGAATGTATGTAATACACAGGAGATGCTACAAGTAACACACAAATTTGTTTCTGCAGCAAACTAAACCAATTTCTCTAGAGTAGCTGAGATTTTCTTTTCACACATACTGCAAATATTAAATTACAGTGTAATTCAGGTAGTTTGAATTATTTTTTTGTTTTTCATTATAGCTTTCCATTAAAATCAGGTAGTTCGATTTTATATAGAATAAATTTTTTCCTTTTGCAAAGTAATTGCCCTTGTTCTGTCAATAGCGCTATTTGGAGTTTCTTGTGTTAACTACACTTTCTTTACAAACTGCTTGTTAAACAGCTTGAATGTTGAGCTAATTGTTTTAAGGAGAAAGTATCCATCTTTGCGCTTAACAGAGACAACATTTCCAAATGAAATAAAATAGGAATAAATATTTTAATTAATACACAGCAGCTTTTCTTTTCTGAATGACTTGCATAAAAGACCGGGGAAGCTAGAATACATATAAGAAAATATGTAACGTGCCAAGTAATAGCTTCTGTAACAGTGCCCTGTACTCAGTGCGGGTGAGGCCACACCTTGAATACTGTGTACAGTTCTGGGCCCCTCAGTTCAGGAAGGATATTGAGGTGCTGGAGCAGGTCCAGAGAAGAGCAACGAGACTGATGAAGGAACTCAAGCACAAATGCTATGAAGAGAGGCTGAGGGAGCTGGGGATGTTTAGCCTGGAGAAGAGGAGGCTCAGGGGAGACCTTATCGTCCTCTACAACTACCTGAAAGGAGGTTGTAGTCAGGTGGGGGTTGGTCTCTTCTCCTAGGCAGCCAACAGTAGGACAAGAAGGCACAGACTCAAGCTCTGCCAGGGGAGATGTAGGTTGGATATTAGGAAGAGATTTTTTACGGAGAGAGAGATGAGGCATTGGAATGGGCTGCCCAGGGAGGTGGTGGATTCACCATCCCTGGAGGTTTTCAAGCTGAGACTGGATGTGGCACTTAGTGCCATGGTCTGGTAATGATGGTAGGGTTGGACTTGATGATCTTTGAGGTCTCTTCCAACCAGGCTAATTCTATGATTCTATGATTTTTTTCAGAAGCTTATACTAAAAATTGTAATTAATGCTCAGAAGTATGTATATAAAAATAAAAATTAAGTATTTGGTGATAGCATGACTTTATGTACATTAATGTCAAGGAATTTAAGGATATCTGCATGTTGAGAAATTAATTCTTCAGGGCCTTTTTCTTCAGGATTTCTAGAGGCAGGTAGGTCACTGATGCGTGTGTACACGTACACCAGTCCCAGAAGCATTTGGTGTGTATATGTCCTTCAGATATGTTCTGGTTGAAGCATTAAGTCCAGCACACACTGAGTAAGTAGAAATCTTCCTTCTTACTCTCTATTGAGCACAGTACCTTTGTTTGGCAAATCTATGCCTGGCATATCATGGCCCTAAATTAGTGCCTTCATAGATGAGCTTTAGTATCTCTATTTCAAAACACCATGAAATCTACTGAAGTAAACATTTATTTTTCTTCAGTATTCTGTTAACACCCTAAATAGCTTTAAAAAAATGTTATCTCAAATAAACACAACTAAGAAGGTAGTTAATAACTAGCAATGTATCCTTATAATTTGAAGTTAGATAGTTACTTCATGTTCTTAAAATTATTTTCATCCTTTGCATTCAGGTGCTGTTTTTCCACAGAAAAGCAGGCTTAGGTTGAATTCTGGATGGGAGTCAAATAATAGAGCTTTTGCTAAATCACCAAAACACAATTGTAGTTCGAGGACTTTCCTAAGCAGTCAATTTCCACCATTTCAACTCGAATGGTTATAAAAATCAGTTTACTTACACTTGGGCAGCACCTTGCATGGACTTGCTCTAAATTGATTTCTGCCTGTCTTCAAGTGATTAGGCTAAATTAATATTGCATATCTATAAATTAGTTTAAATGTGCTCATGTGAAGTTTGTGCCATTTTTGATAAGTGGTTAAACTATTTAAGCTCAATGTAATTTCCCTAAATCAAATCTTAAAATCTAATCATAGAATAATAATATTATTATTATAGATTATTCCAAAATTTTCACTAGAATGACAGAAATAAGTAAGATATGTTCCAAATGTTCGACTTTGTCCATTAATTTTGAATGACTGTGCATTGTTATGGGACATGAGCATGAGTGCCCTCACTGCATAAAGTAAAAGTTTTAATTTTATGCATTCTCCTTTATATGTAGCCTTATGAAAAATTCTTCTGTTTATTGTAGAGGTTTTTATTCTTTTGTCTTTTTTTTTTTTTTTTTTTTTTGGTAAACAGCTGTGCTTTGATTGGTAACTAGTTAACATATGTAGTGACATTTCCTTAAGCACAGAACTTCAAAAACCAATTAATTATTTGTGTGTTGCAAAATAATTATCACGTTCAGGAGTTATCACTGCATTCAGAGGGAACAGCAATTCCTGACGTGTATAGATGTGGGGTTTTTATGGCAAGTCATATTCAGGTTAGAAATATAAGAGATTTTTAACATGGAGATTTTTAGCATTCTGCAAAGTGTATAACACAATTTTTGAATACTGTTTTGTGGGTGGTTTTGTTTTTAATTTTGTGATGGGGAGGAGGAGGCAGTGCTGCTGAGCATTTTTAAATGGAACAATTAAAATAGCTAGTTTTTCCAAAAGACTGATTTTTAGAAGTTTTATGTACTGCTGACTCAAATACCTCTCAAAGGTTAAAGTACATGTGACTTTCACGCAATACTCAGTGGGGAATATTTAGTTTTACACAAATGCAAGTGTTTGGTTTGGATGAAGACTTGTTTTTATACTTTCTAATGACATGTTTAATCTTCCACGTTTAAAATCAATCCTTACAGAATACTTAAAATTACTTAGTCAAATCTGCTGTGGTATTTGAGGTAGAGAAGAGGATTGTATTGTTTCAGTTTTGCTGTTGTGATCACTATTGAAAGCTGACTTGGCAGAAAGCAGTCCCTTTTTCTGGATAAAAGGGAAACAGGCTATGAGATAAGTTATTGATGAAATTAACTGCTGAAGTGGAGAGGAAATGCAGCTGGCCAATACATGTCATAGTGTGAGCTCTATTAAATGAATATATGTGCAGTCAACCATTCACAGGAGCCACACTGGTCTTGAACTGCATTGATCTATAGTATAATTCTAAATTAAATTGATGGAAGAGAGCAACCATTGACAGGAAGGGTAAAGAGAACCATGAAATGTCTTGTACAGGAAAAGCATGATGGAGAGTAGGCTCATCTGTGCCATGGACAGAAAATGTGGTGAAACTCTGGTATTTCTAGGTGTTCCTAGGTGCTTCACCCTTAATTATAATGCAGTGTATGTCACTGGACTCTTCAAAAAGTGCTTTATAGTATTTTATTTTTAGAAGAAAATCCATAAAGAATCCTGTCAAGAATTTAAAAGCAGGTTTTCAAGATCTTAAGATACAGCTTTGCAGCTTACATCTCTGAGCTTTGTGTGAAATTTAGCTGGGATAATGTGCTCTGAGAGCTGTTTATATTAACATTTAAAGATTTGTTTACTTACTATGCACTCAATATAAATATCACTGTTACATGAAGGTCTGTAAACTTCTTTCAGTCTGTTGTGCAAAAATGCTACCTTTTGGTCAGATACAGTTTCAGGTGGCTTCTCTCAAGCATGTCCTTTCAGACCCTTAGCTCATCGAACTGCTTCATTTGCAGGCCTTGATGAATAAAACATTGGGTTCTGCTAGATTTTACTTACATCAGGGTCCACATGTCCTGTAAAAGAATCTCTCTCTTAATTTTGTGTTCACGGGTAGGTACCCTTTCTTGACGTATTGCTTTGACACACTCAAAGCTTCTAACACAGTTATCTTGTCTGTAATAAGACTCAAACCTGGATATGGTCCTTTGCCAGTGTTTCCTTCCATCTGATTGCTACTACATCAGTACTAGGGGTGAAATTGCTTTGTTAGTTTTTCTTGTGTTATTTGAAGCATAGAAGGAATTATTCTATAAAGAAATAAAACTAAGCCTTTTTAATTTCAGTTGAAGTTGTCTCTCTTGCTGATAACATTTGGAAACCTGTTTATAAACTATTAAGAAACCTGAAAAATAGGATTTCCCTCCATTCATTAACAGGCATATTGTTAATTTTATTAGAAAAATGATGCAATTGTGATATCTGGGGCATTCCTAGAAGAAAACACATAGATACTCCAAAATATAAATCCTTTTATATGTGGCACATTTATTTAAAAATGGTTGTAAATTGTGTTATTTCCACTCTGCTGAACATTTTAATCCAAATTGAATTTTTGAGATCAAAATAATAGTTTGATGTCTCTTTATAACTTCAAGGTTCGTGTTTCATTCGAACTGACCAGCTGGATGGAGAAACAGACTGGAAACTGAAGGTTGCTGTCAGTTGCACTCAAAGATTGCCAGCTTTGGGAGTAAGTATTTTACCTATTTACTTTTAAGATATTTTCTATGTGTGCATATATATCTGTTATCTAAGAGATTGTTACAGTCACTGTAAGTATTGGAAAATACCTGTTACTGCAGTCTTAGTTTTTGCAATAAATAAGACACTGATATTCCCCAGGATGCAGAACAAGAAGTTGGTTGTGCGAATTTTCTTGGGTTTGCATTGTAAAGAAACTGAGTCAGAATTGGATTTTTTATCATTCAGCTTGGTGGTTCTCACTGTGGTTCCCGCTGAGATCCACACTCTGCAGCAGTGTATCACAGTTACAGTGTTTGCAACCAAGTGTTAGACTGCAAGTGCAAGTCACTGTTGCCTCAGGAGCCATTGCTCCTGAGGCAAACCACTAACTTTTAAGCTTGAGAAACAGCAGTCTGCTAATGGAAAGTAAAGTGCTTTTTGTTTTCATGATGCCTTCTGGTCTGACCAGGTGGAATGTGGAAGTTCTTGCAAGGAGGGCTCTCCAAGAGTTGCCCACGTCTTTATTTTCTGAGTTGCATATATGTGTCATGTCATGGCTAATGATAACCGTGAAAAAGGACATGAGTTTGTATGTGTGTGTGTATATGCATACAAAATAGACATATATCCACACAAAGCTTGTGAAATTGTACGAATGTCTCCTAATAAGAAGCTGAATTGTGTCCCTTGTACTGGGGATGCTTGCTATGTTATGGGAGAGTTGGCTTGGTATTAAGAGACTTGCTCTGGAAACACATTCAAGTCATGAACATGTGGAAATTTACCTCTACAGAATCTCTGATGTTTTGACACTAAATCTTTTAGGTGTTTTATTAAAGGTAAATATGCCTTAAGAGGACTGTTTATATGCTATCTCTGTAGAAAAAGTGTTGGATTACCTGCCAGATCTTAGCAGGACTACTGCAGGTACATTTCCAGAACTAGAGTTGCTGCCACACTCAAATTAGCAAAAGGGAGAGGGTTTTTTTCCTGTGTTCGTATTCTCTGGCTACTGGCTTCACATGTGACAGGAGAAAGAATTTAGAGAACTGGGAAGAAGCACTGGAACCCTTGGCAATGGTCATGCTAAGTCAGGCTTCAAGACAGGAGTTCTGGTGCAAGAACAGACTCTAACAAGTATTCTGTAACCTGCAGTTGAATCGAGGATTTGTAATAATGCCTCTCTGTAGGTTTGTAACACTTAATAATTGATCTATCTTGTTTTCTCATTAAAAGAAAATCATATCCAGATTTGAGACAGATGAATGCCTTTGACTCAAATCCAGTCAATTTTCTGTCTTGTTTAGATTTTTTAAAATTAATTAGTGCTTTTCAAATAGTTATAACTGTATCCAAAATAGCTATTATGTCTGATTTCTCTTTTGTTTTGGAAACATCACTGACCGCATCTGGCAAATGAAACACTGTGCAGAGCACAGAATTTGCTGGTTTGCTGGTTATAATTTTGGTGTTCCAAGCCTGGAAATTTTGGTGTTCCAAGGCTGATGAAATACGGAGTAAATTACAATGCAGAGGTTTCTCTAGACTCTCCTTTGGAAAAGATAAAAAGGTTTACTTTTTTTTTAAAGAAAACACATTCAAATCCATGTCTGCAGTGTTCCCTCCTTGTTAGGATGAAATAGACCTGGTAGACCAGGTATTTTTTGTACTGGAATTTTTATATTCTTTATTTGCAAAAAAATAAACCAATTCTCAATAGACTTGACAAATTGTTAAGCAAGTATGGATATAATACAAAATTATGGTTAAACATGTGCATTTGATTTGGACAATTAAATGACTGAGAGTTTTTAGAGTGGAAAATAAATCAGAAATGGTTGAAATTAGGGAGTTTGCATTTGAATGGTGGGACATGCAGCCTCATCTTCCTGCAGAAGTGAAGATTCGCTTCAGGTGGTGTCTGTTTTGGGCATGTAGGGCAGGGAAAGGCAAGATATCACCAAGAAATTATTTATGCATCTTGGAAACAGGATACAGAAGTCAACCATACTATATAGTAACCATTACTCCTTAGTTTGTTTCCACTTACTCACGGCTGTTGTCTGGCCTGTGCTTCTTGCAAGATCTTTGTGCTGTCTCTTTTGAACTGTAGGCAACAACCTGAGTTGCATCATTAGGTACTGCTTACACTTAATACCCCTTCTCTGGCTGCCAGCAGCAAATGGAAGCCACCAAAGCTGTTCACGTACCTCTGCCCTTTCTCACATCATGCAGTTATTGGTCCTTAACCACACTAGACTCGACATTGGATGCATCAAGCTGACATTTTATCCTGAAGTAACTAACACAGGGTGTAATACTTCCTGCCAACTAAACTAAATTATCTCTGAATTCCTATACTGTGTTGTTTGGTCAAACCACTGACACTGTAGGGTTCTTTACTGAGATAATTTTAAATGGCTGCTTCCCAGAAAGTCTTAGACTGTTGCAATGGTCATGTCACATACCTGCTTTGCTCCTAAGTCCCATCTGTCTGTGACTCATTTTGGGAAAGTGGTAACCTAATGCATCCAAATGTAAATGCTTTTTAAGGGATCCCCACATCCTTCACAGAGGATAAATGCTCAGTGCCCATCCCAGAATACTGTTTCTGTAAATGTGGAAAGCACATTGGTAATTCTTTGACTTCTGCAAAGACACTTTTACCTTTACTCAGATGGCAATCATATGTAGCAGTGTCACTCATCTAAGGAAACTCTGTGGATGGACAACTTCAGAGATTAGTAGGAAGCTCTAAGCAAGCTGTGAATATCAAACTAACAAATAGCATTATGGAATTACTTTATCATAAGCCTAGTTTTGTACTTTCTTACAGAGTTATAAGCTGTATTTGTATGTAGGCCCTACATGTATTCATATGGGTTTTTTTTAAAAGTTAAAATGCAGTGTCCAGAATGATTTCTTTGTAGTTACAGTAAAAATGATGGTTTTGGAAAAAAAGAGCAAAAATAGGCTGCATGCTTTAAATGTGTAGGGATATTGTTTGAAACTTTACACCCAACTTATCTAAAAAAGGAATGCTTAAAACATGTAGTTGAGGTTTTCTCAGCAGACAATATTCAAGCTGTCTTGTACGTGTGGTGGAAAAAAATTATAAGCAACATGGTTAAAAGTGAGGATCATGTGAGAAATGCATTTCTTCTTTGTTGCTGGAAACTGCTGTTGATAAAACCTGAAAATCAGGCAGGTTGCTTTCCAGATACTGAGTGGAAAATATCAGTTGCTTTGTAAAACATCTCTCTGTTTCTGATTTGCTAAGAAACAAATTTACAGTGATTGACTCCCTGGCGGGTGTAGTAGAGGCATATGCTTTTTGATAAGCTTAAGGTTACTTTTGGAGAAGTCTGTTGGTGTTGGAAGCAGTCTGGCACAGGGCTGGCCTGGATCAGGAACAGTGTGGTCAGCAGGACCAGGGAGGTCCTGCCCCTGTACTCAGCACTGTTGAGGCCACACCTTGAGTACTGTGTGCAGTTCTGGGCCCCTCAGTTCAGGAAGGATACTGAGGTGCTGGAGCAGGTCCAGAGAAGAGCAACGAGGCTGATGAAGGGACTCAAGCACAAGTGCTATGAGGAGAGGCTGAGGGAGCTGGGGATGTTTAGCCTGGAGAAGAGGAGGCTCAGGGGAGACCTTACCGTCCTCTACAACTACCTGAAAGGAGGTTGTAGTCAGGTGGGGGTTGGTCTCTTCTCCTAGGCAGCCAACAGTAGGACAAGAAGGCACAGACTCAGGCTCTGCCAGGGGAGATTTAGGTTGGATATTAGGAAGAGATTTTTTACGGAGAGAGAGATGAGGCATTGGTGGAATGTGCTGCCCAGGGAGGTGGTGGATTCACCATCCCTGGAGGTTTTCAAAATGAGACTGGATGTGGCACTTGGTGCCATGGTCTACTAACCACGGTAGGGCTGGACTCTATGATCTTTGAGGTCTCTTCCAACCAGGTTGGTTCTATGATTCTATGATTCTCTGAGCTTTGTGCTACGGTCTGGGATCAGCCTTGAGTTCCTTCCCGAGCAAAACGTTAGGCGGATCGGGCGGCGGAAGCCGCAGGGACCGGCCCCTGTGCCGTGCAGTGCGCTGCGCTTGCCCCCGGGGTGCCCGCGGTGCTGTGCGCGGTGCCC